AGTCCTACTTCTGTGTTTATAGATAGGAGAATATATAAATCCCCTATTGCTGCTGTTAGGATTAGAATTCCTGGCCTCTATCTATGCTAAACAAACAAACAAACAAATAAGCAACAACAATAACTAAAACTAAAATTCAAAATCAGATATCCTGAATTGGAAATACGATTCCAATATTCTTTGTACTCAAATTCTTCATCTGCATGATGTAGATAATAGTGGAAATCTTACAGGATGCAATTAAATGACACAATGTATGGAAACACATTTATCACAGTTCATAAGACACAGTAGACACTCAGTGTTTGTTGAATCAATCACTCCTTAAGATCAGCCATGTCTAATAGCATCAGTTCTCTTTTATGTTTCCTTCTCTGACTCAACTCTTCTCACTGTTTCTATCCTAAGGCCCTAACCAACCTTAGCAAGTCATAACTGATCTCACATTCTCATTTTCCAGCTTAAATCTATCCAAACCCTACAACTCTGCCAATAATCTCTTTTCCCTACTCAAAAACCCAAAAGGAAGGTTCTACTGCCTACAGGCGAAAGAGCGAAGTCCTCATCGTCATTCAATCGTCTAAATTTGTCTTCTTGCACATTTTCAAACCATCATTCCCATTGATCTAGTTAGTGTGCGCCCTTTGTTCTCACTGGGCTGGGTTTTGGGACACACTGCTGTCAGTCATGAAGTCAAGTTATGCCATTTCACCTCTTCCTGGAAATCTACTCTGGCAAATTCAGATTGACTATTTTGAATGGAACAAAGTACCATTGTTCTTTAACTATTTCAGTCATAAATATGAAAATTCTGCTTTTCTGAACAGATTATAACATTAATCACTTTTATAATCATAGAATATTTTATTGACCTTCAGAGTTTTTAAAGAGAAATATTACAGAATATTTTCCTACAATGTGGATTCATATGTTTACTCATTTTCCCTGAAGCAACATCCTGAATATCACAGAAAGTTAGAGGCAGAAGAGATTAGCTATTGAATAATATTTTTATGTGCTGTCAAACAACGTTATTTCTGAAAAATAGTTCATCACACGTATCTACCACATGTGGCATATTAAAGGCAAATTTCACTTGTCAAAATAAATCAGTGATTCCCTAACTAAAAAAAAATTTTAAATCACAACTACTTTGTGAAATATCTTCTTGAACGGAAACATCCCTGTTTGGATTTGTGGATACTGAGCAGGGAATTCATTGGTTCAAGATTAAAGGCAACAGTTTTTAAGGCTGCTTTTATCCAGTTCTAAGATTGATGATGAGAAACTGTTGCTCATACCTCACTTTTCACAATGTTGATAACTGGCTTTATATTTACTGTTTTTGAGATAGCTTACAGTATTAGCCACATTCTACCTGTTTGGGAGTGCCAAGTTATAAAAGTACAAAATGTACTCACGGCTTCTTTCAAACAAAATCCTCGGGTTATTCCCACTGCTGGAAATTTAGCAATCATGTCAAAAAACTGAACTATGGCGAGGATTGTTCATAAAATATAACGAACAAAATCCTCAGGTTATTCCCACTGCTGGAAATTTAGCAATCATATCAAAAAACTGAACTATGGCAAGCATTGTTCATAAAATATAAACCAATAATGACAAAAGTCAAATAGATTGCATTGCTGAATCAACTGGCTGCTTGCAGCAGAATGACAACATGATGCTTTACATAAGCAGTAACTAAGAACTGTAGATCATCGATCATGGCGACATTGTTTCCCACTGTACTCTCTTAATTTCACATTTTATGTTGTATTTTGCAAAGTCTCTGAGAAAAAGAAAAAGGAAACAAACTATCGTTTAGGATACACAAACCTCTGTTTAAGTATTTATGTAGTGGGAACTTGTAGCAGTTGGGACATTTTCTTATTATGGTATTTCTGCCCTACCAAGTTTTCCTGCAGTAACAACTGAATATTTGTTACACTCATGAGAGCCTTCCAGGATATACTCAGGGTCCTTTTAAGTAAGAAGTTGGGACAATTAGAATAGTATCCTGTACTCAACTTAACAAAAGCTAACAGGAAATCTATATTTTACTCATAGTTAGAAAAAAAAGTGTTAAAAAATCTCTCATTTTAACACTAATATTCTGAAAATTAAATTCACTAAATTCAAGTGTTTTTATTCTTACAGTTCTCTATTAAGAAAGCAGCTTTGCCAGTTTCTTTTCTTTGAAATAATTCCAACTTTGTACAGTAAATCTTTTTGAAGATATTTGAAGAGTTTTTTTTTTTTTTTTTTTTGAGACAGAGTCTTGCTCTGTCATCCAGGTTGGGATGCAGTGGCTCAATCTTGGCTCATGAAAACCTCCGCCTACCAGGCTCAAGCAATTCTCCTGCCTCTGCCTCCCAAGTAACTGAGATTACAGGTGCATGCCACCATGCTAGGCTAATTTGTATATTTTTAGTAGAGGCAGGGTTTCACTATATTGGCCAGGCTAGTCTCGAACTCCTGCCCTCAGATGATCCACTCACCTCAGCCTCCCAAAGTGCTGTGATTACAGGTGTGAGCCGCCATGCCCAGCTGATGGAAACTTTTTTTGTTTAAAAAGTTTCTATTTTGAAACTTTAAATTTCTCCTAGGCCTGGCGTGGTGGCTCATGCCTGTCATTCCAGCAGTTTGGATGGCCGAGGCAGGTGGATCACTTCAGGTCAGGAGTTCAAGACCAGCCTGGCCAACATGGTGAAACCCCATCTTTACTAAAAATACAAAAATTAGCCATGTGTGATGGCTGGTGCCTGTAATCACAGTGACTGGGGAGGCTGAGGCAGGAGAATCACTTGAACCTGGGAGGTGGAGGCTTCAGAGAGCTGAGCTCTCACTGCTGCACTCCAGCCTGGGCGACAGAGCGAGATTCTGTCTCACAAAAACAAATTCTCCTTTTTGATATGATCACATGTTGAATTTAATTAATGTTTTTATAACTGAATTAATAAAGTGCCCAGTAAATGCTACAAATCAATAAGTACTGTCTGAATGAAAATAAATTGAAATTAAGTAAGATTAGTTTCAAATATAGTCTTTCTTGAAAGAGTGAGTTTGGCCATCCTAAATTACACTTTTCAAGATTGGTCTACTTTGTTTCTGAGGTCACCGTACTCATGGTACTAGAATTAAAGTGTCTGAATAAAAAACACACTATATGATTTCTCTTTGACTTAAAAAAATATACAAACAATAAATTATAAGTCTGATTAACTGTATGGGCTTTTTGTTCAATTGATTTAACTGTGTTTTCTCCTAGGACATAAATCATGTGATACAGCAAACTCAAAGATGTGGGACTCAAATGACACTTGTAAAAAATTCAGATACCCTGTTTGCCTTTAGTTATGTTAATTGCCACACTTTAATAAAGTGATTATTATTTAGACTCTTCATTCCTCAGCCGTAGAAGTAAATACCGCATGTCTAAAATTGGTGCTGGTTTTGATAAGCCGTAGTGATGACATCACCCTGAGTTCCAACTCCTGGAATAAAGAACTGTGACCATGCAGTGACTTGTGGGCAGTTAGGTCCCAACATAACTCTCCTTGTCCTCTCATGCCACTGATTTGGAGCCAAGGTTTGTGCTCCAAGATATAAACCAGGTGAAAGGAATCACATTACTATTTTCAAGTGCAAGGGATTTAAAACGATATATGGCACACAAAAAAGTCAACGTATTTAATGCCTAATGCCACTGAACTGTACACATGATGACGGTTAAAACTCTAAATTGTATGTAATATATTAGACCACAAGTAGAAAAAAAAAACTGTGTTCATGTGTTTCAAAGGTTTTCCACGATTGTATAATATATATAGTTGGTTATACCTTCTGACCGTGACCAGATCACTCTTTCTGCAACATCTGTTTACCCAGGCTCCCCAGGGCCTAAGTAAGTAAGCATCTATTCTTCAGGAATTAGTAAACAGCACTTATTAGCTAAAAGTAACACAGACAAAAAACAAACAAACCTCAAAAATACCATGTAAAGGCAGGTGTTGGACAAGGAGCCTATGAAAACACCCCTTGCTCCTCCACATTGCTCTGGTGTGAGAAACTAGGACATGAAGAAACCCCTACCTCCTATCTCAGGAATAGCCAATCCTGCTTGATTGCAACAAGGGTAAGTAAATGCTGACCTGAAGGAGCTGCTGGACTTCCGAACCCCAGTCTGTTGTTCAGGCACTTTCTAGAGGGTCAAGCACCATGCCAAAGGCCTGAGGAGGCAACTCGCATCTTTCATTCTGCCTCATCAAGAGTGAACCTAGGTAGGGCGCGGTGGCTCACCCTGTAATATCAGCACTTTGAGAGTCCAAGCGGGGCTGATAATGAGGTCAGGAGATCGCGACCATCTAACACCGTGAAACCCAGTGTCTACTAAAAATACAAAAAATAAGCCGGTGTGGTGGCGCATGCCTGTAATCCCAGCTACTCAGGAGGCTGAGGCAGGAGAATCGCTTGGACCCGGGAAGCGGAGGTTGCAGTGAGCCAAGATCGCGCCATTGCACTCCAGCCTGGGTGACAGAGCGAGACTCGAAAGAAAGAAAGAAAAGAAAAGAAAAGAAAAGAAAAGAAAAGAAAAGAAAAGAAAAGAAAAGAAAAGAAAGAAGGAAGGAAGGAAGAGAAAGAGAAAGTGAACCTTGATGCTCTTATTGCACCCAGGACAAACTTCTATCTCTGCATATGTGTCATTTTAATGACATATCCTGCGCCCGGACTATAATGTGAGCAGCCATGTGATCTCTATGTGCGCATAACCAGTGCCTAACGCTAGTCCTGCCTCTTGGAAGGCGCTCAGCGAGTCGGGGAGTAAGTGAGGAGCTCACTCTGCAGCTGTACCCAAGACAGCGCGGGCAGGAGCAGAGGACACTCCAGCGCTCTGCGGTTGCAAATACGCCCCTGCAGGTGCTGCTACTTCCAGAACTCTTAGGTTTCCGCTTACTCGCACACGCATCCCGACTTCCCCCAACCCTGGAACTACCTACCAGTAGCGGAGACCAGCAGACCGACAGCACGCACATGATCCCCATGAGCTGAATGGCCGTCTCGGTCGTGATGCGGCCCCACTGGGCACTGGACTGAGATGCCGTGGCCTTGGCCCGGCAGCGGGACACCAGGGCCTTAATAGTGGCCAGGTTGCAGGCAAAGGTGATTGTCAGCGCCAAGAGCCCCAGGAAGGCAAAGGCAGAGGCGAAGAAAAGGTTGCCCCAGTTATGCGAAGAGCTAGTCCCGTTGCCCCCTCGCCCGGTGCTGATGAAGCACCACGTCCCGGGCCACTGCACCGTGTACTGGCCCACGCCCAGCACCGGCAGCAGGGAGAAGGCGAGCACGGCCAGCCACACGCAGAGCAGCACAGCGCGGGTGGCGCGCGTCTTCATGTGGCTCGCGTACCAGTGCGGCGCCCTGATGGCCAGCGCCCGTTCGACGGCCATGGCGCTGGCGATGAACAGCGAGGAGAGCCCGAACACAGTCATGGTCAGCCCGAAGAAGGTGCAGAGCCGCCCCGATGGGTCGAGCTGCTCCCAGCGCTGCTTGGACAGGTACACGACGATGACCACCGGGGTGGTGAGAAGCTGCCCGACCAGGTCGGTGAGCGCCAGCCATCCGATGCACAGCAGGAAGGACTTCTTGCGCTTGCTCTCCCGGCGCCGGTAGCTGCGCGACACTAGCAGCATGGCCAGCGCGTTGCCCACGAAACCGGTGAGCAGCATGGTGATCGGGAAGGCCACGGACACCGATCCGCAATCCTCGCCGGACCCTGGAGGGCGCGTGAGGTTGCCCCGAGCCTCGGCGGAGCGCTCGGGCGCCCACATGCCAGTGTAGGAGTGGTTGGGGCGGGTGCAGAAGGGGGCACCCCCTCCGTAGCCCCGGGTCTCCTTCATGTTGGCTTCGAGGTGAGGAGGGGATGGCGTCCAGAAAGCCGCAGCGGGACGGGGCAGTAGCGGCGCGGGCGGCGGCGGAGGTCGGCTGCTACCGCGGCTGGGGCTAGGCTGCCCTCCATGGTGTGGGGGCGCAGCCGCCGCCCTACTCCGCTACTGAGGCCGCTACCGCTGCGGCGCCAGGGCTCACTGGCCCCGGAGGCACCCGCGACTTCCTCTCCGAGAAACCTCTGGCTCCGAGGCGCGCAGAGGTGCCGGGTCCCCTGTATAAGGCCGAGGGGGCGGGGCGCCCGTGGGTGTGGACAGAACCGAGGTGGGAGGAGGGTGCAAAGCAACTGAGCGCCTCTCTTGGGTTGCCTAACCTGAACGCCTGGGTTGAGAAAAACCCCAGACGGGCTCCTCTGAAATGCCCTGCTCCTGGCCGGACGCGGAGCCCACTGGGCGCCTCCTCCAGTTCTCTGCCAAAGTGTCGTGGGGCGGCAAGCAGCTAGTAAGTCTCACTGGGCTTGGGGACCCCAGGCAAGCTGCCGAGCAGCGCTCGCCCTCCTGAATCTTCGACCACAAACGCTCCTACAGGGACCGATCCTTCTCCCGAGGTTTTTAGTAACTCTTGGTAAAGTGTAAGTCGCCTGTCCTTAAGCAATCCACACAAGCCTTTGCACAGGTGATCCTTAACTTTTTTCTTTTCTGCTTTGGGGCTCTGCTTGAGTGATTATAAAACGGACAAGCCGTCCTGTCTCCTGGGGTGCAGCTAAAAACTATAAAATTACTAGAGAATGCCTGTAGACTTAAGAGAATAGACACAGGGAAACAAATACATTGGATGATTGAATTCCAGGCCCAAGAAATCCCATGTATTACCCCTCGCCTAATCCTGCCCACTTCCCTCGCCCTCTGACCCCAGCAAATCAGTCAGCTAGGGCCAAAGTGGCTACAGGAGGGTGGCACAGTTTGCATATCTGAGGTAGTGAAATCAGCTGCTCCCAGCCTATGGGAGTGAGAGGGGAGTAGAGGAGAAAGGTATTCCTTACAAAGCCTCCAACCATCCTTCTTTTCTTCATACAATAAGAACTAGAAAAATACGTAGATGTTATGAAGGCCTTAATCTTTATGGAAACTTTGCCTTTGACATAATAAACATTGAATGAAAATAGGCATATTTGCTTGCCTCATAACATCTTTCAGTAAGCCATATGTTATGTACTTTTCACAAGCATTTTCTCATTTTATCACAGAAATCCTCCAAGGTACTATTGCTATTATTATTCACCTTAAAGGGGAGTAACTGAGACCTCAAGAAGCTAAAGAATGTTCTTGAAGTCTCAGCAATTCTCAACCCCCATCTTATTTGAACCATGTATTCCTGACATGGATCCCATAACTGCTCTCAGAAGATGAATATCAAAGGTGAGATCCTTTTCCCCTAACCTTAGGAAAGTCTTTTTTTTTTTCCTTTTCATGCTGTTCAAGAAATAAATGTTAAAAAATAATTGCAAAGTTCATTTTTCCTCATATTTATAAGAAATTAGACATATTCATATAGCACTATAAAGACCATTATTCTGATGGACATAGACCAACTTTCAGAACAAGCCCGATCAGTTTTGCCTTTCCTAGCTTAGCTGATGTTCTTGATGTATGGGTGTTCTTTACTTTTAAATTACTGTTAAGAGGTAAGAATGGGATATGTCGGCCAGCGAGGTGGCTCACGCCTGTAATCCCAGCACTTTGGGAGGCCAAGGTGGGTGGATCATGAGGTCAAGAGATCAAGACCATCCTGGCCAACATGGTGAAACCCCATCTCTACTAAAAGTACAAAAAATTAGCCGGCCGTGGTGGTGCGTGCCTGTAGTCCCAGCTACTCGGAAGGCTGAGGCAGGAGAATTGCTTGAACCTGGGAGGCGGATCACTGCACTCCAGCCTGGCGCCTGGTGACACTCTGAGCAAGACTGTCTCAAAAAAAAAAAAGAATAGGATATGTCCCTCTGCATGATTTCTTTATGTGCTGTGGTCTTGATTCTGTATGAGAGTTTGAAAAAAATCACTATAACATTACATTTTTTTTAAAGAAGGAAAAGCAAGAATGCAATTTAAATTCCATTTTAATAATGCATTAATCACAACATGAATTTCATTTTGTGTTTTGCTGTCATTTAAAAATTTTTTTGCACTTTTAAGTTTTATTAATTAAAATGTCACATTTACAATGGGAGCAAGAGGTAGGAAGGGTGAAAGGGTTTAACTCTAAAATCTTCCCCAAACTTTGTCTTATTATTTTGAATTAATCTTAAACCCATATTTGAGAGAGTACTTTTCTAGACTAATATCATTTGAAAAGTAAAATAACATTTGAAGTTATTCTTAGATAAAGCTTTATCCAAAGCATCTGGATGAAAGTGGCTATCAAGTTTATTCCTTCCGCAGTTAATACAATTCTAGTGTAATTAAACATTTAAAATTTGAGACTATTTCACCGTTCACACAGTAAAGGAAGCAAAGCTGATCTTTTCCCAGTTACATCAAAAACTATTCTCATTTTTATTTACAAATATTTGACTTCTTTGAAACTTACTTCTCCCACTGAAATGCTTGCTATAGCCAAATGGACTTGATAAGCATAAGCATCAGAGCATGTATTAGTAAAGAACTGTTAGCTTCTTACCGCTGTACCAAAGAACTAGATGTGCTGCATTTCAGATAATTTGTGTAACATTTCTCTTTTTTCAGCATTTTGCTTCATCCTAAGTTGTCTGCCTTTAGCTATTCACCTTATGAACAAGACAGTCACACTCTGTTGCCCAGGCTTTAGTGCAGTAGCATGATTTTAGCTCATTATTTGAACTGGGCTCAAGTGATTCTCCTATCTCAGTCTTCTGAGTAGCTAGGGCTTCAGGCACATGAAACCATGTCTGGCTAATTTTACAATTTTAATTTTTGTAGAGACAGGGTCATGAGGTTCTGTGGAATAACAATGTGAAGCTAGCATTTGGATTCTGGTTGGCAATTTTTGGTCAGTTACTACAGAGGAGTCTGAATTGTGTTGGTCTGAAGCAACACCACCCTCTAGTGACAAAAAGGCTAATAACATGCTTCATTCTGTTTAAAGAGAATTTCCAAAGGGCCAATGGATGCTTTGCTTAAGGAATCTCTGATTTCTTTCCTAGATCTACTTATCAGTACATAATTGTGTCACTTTGTTTTCCTTTGAGGTTACAAACTGGCAACTTTGTTTAAGAGTCAACAAACCAGTAGAGGATTAAATTGAAAGACAGATATTCAATTTTTAAAAAAAATTTTTTTAAGTATATATTCACCTCTTATATTTTCAATGAAATCCCACCCTGGACATGTTTTAAATTCACAGATTACTTAATTGTACCCCTCTTACAATTGTACCTACAGTGTAAAATGTGTAATATGTATTAATATTTAGCTAGTGAGGATGAATTTATTGTGCTATTTACATCTATTGGACATCTATTTTAAAATCTTAAATATGGGTACAAAACAAGACTAATAACAACTAGTCACATGATCAGACCTTGACTGCCTCACTATGGATGTAAAATATCTGAAAGTCTTTTTCCATAGAGCCAACCAATAATTTTAGTTTATATTTTAGTCATTCATTCATTCATTAACTATTCATTGAGCACCCAATCTATGTCAGACACTGCTACAGTCATTAGAGATACAAAAGCAATATATAACAGTCTCTACATTTATGGAGTTCATATTTTAGTGCAAAATTATTGATTTTAAGTGCCAAATAACCAAAGAAAAAATACTGATCCCATGGCTTTTGTCTTCTCAGGATGATTGCCATGGAAGTACAATGCAAGGCAGATTTAACATTTAAACATCAATCAATATAATTACTGTATCAACAAAATAAAAGCAATGCTTAGAAGTCTTTGCTAAATTAAATATCTGGATATACTCGAGTATCTCGCTATGATTGCCTTTTTCCTGTCTTTTCTTCCTATTCTTTACATGTCTAATAATTTTTTATTGAAACCTGGACATTGTAATGTATTCTAATGACTCTGATTCTACTGTGTTTTTTTGTATCCCCTGAGTACTATTGATTTTTTGTTTGTTCTGTTTGACAGCTAACTTTTCCGGATTCAAACTGCCAATATTGCCTCCCCTGGCACATGCAGCTATTGATATCTCTGCTTTATTCTCATAGTTTTCCATGGCTGCTCTTTTAGCTTGGCTCCCTATAGACTCATTTCCCTATGCCTCTTAATTTGCTGGTCAGTTAGCGATGGAGATCACCTTCCATGTAAATTTCTTGATTCTAGGGATTCTCCTCTTATTTCCAACTGTGCTGACAGCTTAAGGCTCTTCTCTGACATTTCAAGCTTCTGAAGCTTCACCTTTCTGCCACTCAAGCTATATACAGCACAGTTGGGCATACATCCCCTTAAGTAAAGCATCAAAGTAGATGCATTCTTGAATAACTATCTTTAAGACTAGATTTCTATCTGGACTTCTCTCTAGTGAATGGGATTAGCAGCTCTTATAAAAGGGCTTGACAGAGGGAGTTTGGTCTCTTTCTTGTCATCCTGACATGTGAAGACAGGGCAACAAGGCCTTCACCAGAGACCAGATGATGGCACCTTGCTCTTGGACATCCCCAACCTCCAAAACTTTGAGAAATAAATTTCTATTCTTTATAAATTAACCAATCATGGTAGTCTTTATAGCAGCACAAAACAAAGACACTGGTGTTTAGATCAATAAAAGAATTATAAAGAGCATCGTATATAAACATATGTGTGCGAGAGATACATAGAGCTATGTGTACATATGCATACATTCATATTCAACAGATTTTTGTTCAGTGTTAAGGTGATTCAAAACAACAAACTTTTCAACAAGTGGTGCTGGAAAAACTAGTTATTTGAATAGATACGAAAATGATCATAGACCTTACACCACAAAACGAAATAGATAATAGACTTAAATGTACCTGTTAAGGCCGGGTGTGGTGGCTCATGCCTTTAATCCCAGCAGTTTGGTAGGCCGAGGAGGGCAGATCACAAGGTCGGGAGATCGAGACCATCCAGGCCAATATAGTGAAACCCCGTCTCTACTAAAATACAAAAAAAATTAGCTGGGCATGGTGGCACGTGCCTGTAGTCCTAGCTACTAGAGAGGCTGAGGCAGGAGAATTGCTTGAACCCAGGAGGTGGAGGTTGCAGTGAGCCCAGATAGTGCCACTGCACCCTAGCCTGGCGCCTGGCAACAGAGCAAGCCTCTGTCTAAAAAAAAAAAAAAAAAAAAAAAAGTACCTGTTAAACTATAAACCTCGTAGACTAAAAGAGGATTTTTCTTTGTGACCTCTTTCCTCCTCTATCATTACCTCAAGTACTCCTACAGCTTTTTTGTTGTTG